TCTGAGACTAGACTCCTCTTCTGTAATGATGTACTCCCCAGGGTTCCTCTGAGCACCCAATAGATAATAATGTTAACGTTGTTGTTGTTAGGTACTGTTGAGTCAATTCCGACTCACAGCAATCCTATATGACAGAGTAGAACTCTCCACGAGGTTTTGTAGGCTGTAACCTTTATAGGAAAAAGGGCCTTGGCAGCGCAGTGGTTATAGGCCCAGCTGACCACGAAAAGCTCAGTGGTTCAAATCCACCAGCAGCTCCCTGGGAGGAAGATGTGGCAGCCTGCTTCTCTAAAGATTCCTCCAAAAAAAAAAAAAAAAAAAGTACCCTCACTGTTGTCAAGTCGATTGGAGTCACAGTAACCCCTCCTTGGGTTTCCGAGGCAGTATCGCTACAGAAGGAGATTGCCCAGTCTCCTTCCGAGGAGTGGCTGGTGGGTTTGAACCGTCAACCTTCTGGCTGGCAATCAAATGCCTTAGGCATGACACCACCAGAGCTCCTTCTAAAGATTACAGCCTTGGAAACCCTATGGTGCTATTCTACTGCGTCCTCTGGGGGTGCTGTGAGTCGGAATCATCTTGATGGCAATAAGTAATCTGTCTCCCTTGAAGCCACTGGGTGGGTTTGAACCTCAGACCTTTCAGTCAGCAGCCAAGCACTAAACTGTTTGTGCCACTCAGGCTCCCAATGATACTAATAAAGCAGCGGATTGTCTTGCACTCTTTGTAGGTACTGGGCACTGGGTGAAGAATGACTGTGCACCATCTGGTGACCCTAGACAACAACTCTGCTGTATCCATGAGCAAAGACGAACAGAATAGTTAAGCAACATGCCCAAACCCTCACAGCTGCAGAGGAGAAAGTACAAGACATAAATCCAGACACACTGACTTCAGATAATGGACGCAGACCACAGCAGCCTGCCATCGCTCACATGAACCAGTGGCCAACAACTCAGGGTCCTGAGCACCCTAGCGTAATTACAGTTGTGAACATGGACAGGATATGATGTGAATGACTATGCTTCTTCCCGGCGCCTCCAGTCCTTCTGCCCTTTACACAGGCCGAGGAGGGAAAAACAGAGGTCTCTAGTTACCAGAGAGAAGAAGTCCTCCGCGTGTGGGGTTCACAGAGGACATACCTTCTTCTCCATACAGACCTTTGGGTATAATTACAAAGAGGAATCAGAGTGATCTTGCTTTAATTAACTCCCCAGCTGCACCCTGTTCTTGGAGCCCCCTTTGACATTTTCTACATCAAATCTGCAGCCTAAGGTCGTCTGCAGACATTTGCCATTTGTCGAATATGCCCAGAAGATCGCTGTGAACCCCCACCCCGTCCTTTCTGCAGTGACAACCCCTGGTTCCAGAGCACACACGTTTCAAGTCAGAAGGGGCTATCTGGGTTTGCTCCATGAGTCTGTAATTTTTTTTTTTTTTTTTCTATCTTATCACATTGGTCCTTCCATTATCACAGGAGCGGCATGCACTTCATCTTAATTATGCATCTGTTTAATCCGTAATTTCTGATTTATGGCCATTAACTCCTAATTACAAGCGAGCCGCCCTTGAAAAGGAAAACCAAAGGAACCCAGAGCAGTGGAGCTGAAAAGCTGGAGGGAAGATGAATTGAAGTCCTGCAACGAGATGTGAACTCCGAGGCCATGTATTGGGCGTCACCTGCTGTTTGCAATTCTATGGCTGTGTGAGGGTCCCAGCTCAGGCCATACTGAATTCATCCCCCTCTGTGGCAGGGCAGATGCAAAGCCCAGACATTCAGACAAAGCTAAAGTCTCTGAGTGAGAAACCATCCAAGCCAACTTCATAATGACGCATCCTTTTTTTTTTTTATTAAAAAAAAAAAGAAAAACTTAAGTGAATCGTCTACCAAGAAAACTTTGTATCTATAACCTTCTATTAATGGAAAACAAGTATGATTCAGAAGGCAACTACAATAAGGAACTCCATACCTGATTTTTTTTAAAAAACTGTGCCCTCCCATGCTATTTAAAGGTGCTCTGGTGGTACAGTGCCTAAGGCACTTGACTGCTAACCAGAAGGCTGGCGTGAAACACACCAGCCACTCCATGGAAGGAGGGTTGGGCAATCTACTTCTGTAGGGATACTGCCTCGGAAACCCAATGGGGGTCACCATGAATTGGAGTTGACTCGATGGCAGTGGGTTTGGTGCTATTTAAAATCATTTGGAAAATCATGCTGCATGCGATCCCCATAATTTCCATCACCAGGACAGTAAATATAATTATAGTCACTGCTTTGCAGGTAAGGAAGCAGAGACTCAGAGAGGCTATGCAACCTGCCCCAAGTCACACAGCTAGAAAGTAATAGGGTTATACCTTAAACTATTAGTGAATCGCTAGGCCTTTTTTCTGAGGCCTAGGTGGACTTGAACCTCCAACCCTTCAGTTAGCAGCCAAGGGCATTTAACCATCTGCATCATCCAAGGACTCCCATTAGGACCCATTAGGACTATCTTTGTCTTGCTTTGGCCAGAGGAAATGGAAGACCAGAGCAACAGCCTGCACAGCCTCAGATTCTTCAAGGTGCTGGCCACCCGGAGGCAGCAGGAAGACCCCTTACCTGGGGCTGAAGGTGTGGCTGCTGACTGACTGTCGAGACGGGCTCCTCACGGTGTCTGTGGCCAGGGACAGCGTGCAGCTCAACCAGGACTGCAGACTGCTCGCTGGCTGGGAGCTGAAGGTGGAGATAGTGTCCCTAGAACCAGAAGGCAAGTCACCGTCAGCACACTGACAGCCACAATAACTAGGTGATGCTCACCCTTCAGCATAACTCAGGCACCGTGTTAAGTTGCTGTACATGCCAACTCACTCAGGGCTCATGCCACCATCCCAGGGAGGTGGGAACTGGTGCTGTCCCCATTACAGAGAAGAGAGAATTGAGATTTGGGGAGGCCAACTTAGGAGCTCTGGTGACGTAGCGCCTAAGCCATTTGACTGCTAACCAGAAGGCTGGTGGTTCAAACCCATCAGCCACTCCTCAGAGGAAGACTGGGTAATCTACTTCTGTAGTGATACTACCTCAGAAACCCAAGAAAGGGTCACTATGAGTTGCGATCAACTTGACAGCAGTGAGTTTGGTATTTTTATTTTTATTTTTTAGCTTGGGACTTAGCCAAGGTCATCCAGCTAGGCACTAATGGAGCTGGGATGCAAACTTCATTCCCTCTGATTCCAGTCCCCATACTGTTAACCACTGCGCTCCTCCCGGGGGAGGTACAGAAACCTACCCTCCAACCCAGATGTGGAGTCCTCTCTAATCCTGGGGTAAAACTTGGCTTTGAATTTTAACAAAATTAATGGGCTATGTCAAGTGTGTATGTCTTAACTCCATCCCCACTGCGATGTAGTAAATCACCTGGTATGGCTTTTCTAGCCATAAGTCTTTGTAAATTCCTTGGTGGAATTTGCCGTGAGTGACTGAGGAGTGCCTGATTATTAAAGTTATCCACCTGGGGTATTTCTGTTGTGGGTGGTACAAAGCAATGTTCTGGGAAGTTCGCTCTCTCTCTCTCAGGTGTTTAGAATTCTGATGTTATGATTGGTTAGTCTGGCCACTCTGCCAGGCTCAAAAGGAGCCCTCCTAGAGGCAGAAGGAGTCTCTCTGACTGCTGGCTGTGAAAGACATGCTGCTGAGAGAAACATGCTCCTGAGAGACACATGCTGCTGAGAAAGAGACCCCAAGAGACATGCATTGCCGAGAAACACCTAGAGACACACACTGCTGGGAGAGAGACTGTTGGCTGAGAGATGGCAGGCTGAGAGAGATTGAGCATTGTTCCTGAACTTGAATTGTAGCCTGGTGCTTCCCTAATAAACTCCATAATCTGTGAGTTCTGTGTGGCCACTGCAGAGATTATCAAACCCAGCAGAGAGGCAGTGGGTGCTGCGGGAGGAACGGCTGGTATCAGGGTTGGTGAAAGGGCTAGAGGGAGGCAGCCTATCTGGCCTCCCAGGAATAGGCCTTGGGCTATTGATGGTGATTCTGTCTTCCTCTTGTGGGGTTAGAGGAGGTTGGAAGATGTGGCCTCCCTGCCCCTTCGGCACCCACCTTAACTGGAAGGACTTTGTGGGTGGGGGCTTTGCTATTATACCTACCACCTCCAAAAGCAGCACAGGAAGAAGCTTCAGTGGGTACTCAATGGTTACATCTGGTTGATACACTCGATCCACATTTACTTACAGGACACCCTATGCCAGGCACTATGGGGAAGGGCTGAATCCAACACTGGCCCTGTCCACAAGACCCCATCCTAACAGAGTAGATTCCCCTCTATATAAATTATAATAAAATAAAGGAGAATATTATTAATGTCATAGGGAGGGACAGAGTAGGTTCCAAGGGGAATAAGGAGGGATGTTTGCCTCGCTTCTTGGAGGCACAGGGGAAGAAGTCATGAGGTGGCAGTTAAGCTGTATTTTATGTGAAGGACAAAGTTCGCCCACACAGGGACTGGAGAGGGGAATTTTAGGTGAAGGAACACCACACACAAGGATATGGGGTCCATAGGAGGGTAGGGCCTGTATGACACAGGAAGCAGGAGTCTCAGGTAGAGAGTAAAGGCAGGTTTCAGATGGTACAGGGCTCAAGCATCAATCTAAAAAGTCTACTTCTGAGGTAATGGGGAGCCACGGAAGGTGTTTGAGGAGGACAGTGATATAAGTCACAGCTTCTGTCTGTCTAAAAGAAGGTGGACAGTTCAGTAATATGTCCCTGGCATTAAGCGTATGACCCTGAAGCCAGGGCTCTCACGGGCATCACTGACAATTCTCCAAGTGGGCACAGCCATTTCCTCTGCAAACTGGGCACCCAGAGCCAGGGCCTCGGGGTTAACTCACATCTCTTTTCTGCTGCCACAGTCCACCGCCGTCTGGACACTATAAGGAAGCACAAGGAGAGTCTGTTATGCTTGTGCTTCTGGGAGCTGTGTAACACAGTGACTGACATTAGAGAGACCTGGTTCAAGCTTCACTTCCAACCTTAGCTGCTGTGTGACCTTAGGCAAATCACTTGCCTTCTCTGAGGCTCAATGTCTTTCTTTGTAAAATATGGCTAATCAAATGGCTCTGCCCCACAAGTTGTGGAGCAGAGTAAATGAGATAAACCTTGAAAATGTCTCAGTCTTGTTCCTGGCAAACAGTGCTAATTAAATGGCAGCATGCACTGCCCCGCCTCCTGTTATAGTACAACACAAACCAAACCTAAGTCACTGCCATTGGGCCAATTCCAACTCATGGTGACCCTCACTGGGTTTCCAAGGCTGTAACTCTTTCCAGAAGCAGATTGCCTCATCTTTCTGCACTGGAGCAGCTGATGTGTTTGAACTGCTGACCTTCTGTTTAGCAGCCAAATGCCTTAATCTACACCACCAGAGCTCCTGATAGTACAACTAGTACCACTTATTTGTAGTATCATTTTTTGCAAGGAAGCAAGGCAGGTACTTGTTCTTTGTGAGTACAGAATCAGAAACAAATCAAAGTAGAGGGCAGCTTCTCAGGGCATTCTGGGAAACTCTAAAAGTAATTCCCATAATAGCTCTTCTACAAGGAGTACCATTTCATTCAACAAATATGTTCTACACACGATCTCACTTCATCACCCCACCTGTCTCCATTTTAAAGATGAGGGACCTGACTGTTAGGGACTGAATTATGCCTCCCAAGAATGCATGTTGTAAATTCTAACCTCTGTGCCTGTGGTCATAATCCCATTATTTGGGAATGGATGATCTTTGTTGTGTTGATGAGGCAGTATTAGTGCAGGGTGTGTCTTAAGTCAGTCTCTTTTGAGATATAAAAGAGATTAAACAAGTGAGCAGCAGAGAGACATGGGGTAAGATGGATGCCAAGACACATGGAGAGTCTCCAAAGAACCAGGAAGCAGAAGCTGGAGAGACAAGGAGCTTCCTCCAGAGCCAACAGAGAAACCTTTCCCTGGAACCAGCACCTTGAATTCAGACTTCTAGCCTCCTAAACTGTGAGAAAATAAAATTGTTTGTAAAACCCCATTTGGGGTATTTCTGCTATAGCAACACTAGAGAACTAAGACACTGACCCTCTGACCTAAGGTGGCACAGCCTTGAATCTCAGATTCTAGGACCCTAAAGCCCATGTTTTTGACCACTGTGCTAAAGTTAATTGTCCAGTGTGTGAGGGAGGGCAGCCAAACCACAAAATTCAAACAGATAATGTCATTTTTTAAAAAATTGTGTTTTAAGTGCAAATTTACAGAGCTGAATTTGTTTTACATTCAACATTTTATGTGCATTTGGTTTTGCTCCCCAATTACCATCCCCAACCATAACCCACTCTCCTCTCCCTTCCCAGTAACCTGCACCTTCCTTGTGCTGTTCTTAGTTATGCATGCTTTTCCTCCATGTGGCTGTTGCCCCTCTGGTGCCCCATGGCTGACTGCTCCAAGGGATTATCTCCGTATAGTAGGTGGGTGCATCACCCTGGATTGATGTTCTAATGTAAGTCTTAATTACTGTGGGGCTGGGAGCCAGCCCTTGGGAGTGAGTTTTATCCCAGGCCCGAAGTGTATCCCAGGGCCATACATAGTCTTGTGGGTCCCCCAGGCTCCATCTGACCAGTAATTCTGGTCATTTTTGTGGTTTGGGATTTGTTATTTTAATCATAATTTTGGCTCCTCGGGGTGGGACCTCCCAACTTTCTTCCCTGCTAGAATCTGGACAAATCCTCAAAAGACTGGCCGCTTCCTCCAAGACATGCACACTCTGCTCCTGGTCCCCACTCAAGGTTGCTACCTTTACTTACATACATGCCTCTGCCCACTGGAGGTCTCTGAGTGGACCAAATGGTTTGCACTCAGTTACTACTCTAAAGGAGCCCTGGAAGATGGCAGCCTTGGAAACCCTATGGGGCAGTTCTACTCTGTCCTATAGGTTCACTAGGAATCAGAATTGACTTGACGGCAATGTTTTTTTTTTTTTTTTCACTAACCTAAAAGTTGGTGGTTCAAACCCACCCAGGTGCACCACATAAGAAAGGCCTGGAAATCTGATTCCATAAAGATTACAGCCAAGGAAACCCTATGCATCTCAGTTCTCTGGAATACACGGGTTGTCATGAATTGGAATTGACTCAGTGGCAACAAGTTCTTTTTTTTTTTTCCTTTTTTGTCTCTACTGTACCTAAGAACCCCTCCTGGCCCAGGAACATGTCTTATTCATCCTTTTAGCCCTAGAGCTCAGCATAAAGCACAGGCCAGACTGGATGCTGTCACAGGAGAGAATACTCTCACAGGGAATACTTGGTAAATGGAGTAGGCAGTAGACTATGACCAGCAGGACAAATCTGGCCCACCACCTGTTTTGGAAAATAAAGTTTTACTGGCACATACCCATGTGCTTCATTTATGTTTTGTTTGTGGCTGTTCTCATGCTAGAATAGCAGAGTAGTTGGGACAGGGACCATTTGGGCCCCAAGGTCTAAAATGTGTACTATCCGGTCCTTCAGAGAAAAAGTTAGCTGATTCCCACAGTAGAACAAAAAGACCTTTTATAGATGGCCCTGTGGTAGGCAGAAAAATGGCCCCCAAAGACGTTCAAGTCCTAATCTCAAGATTCTGTGACTATGTTTTCTTACATGGTAATCTGCAGATGTCATTAAGGACTCTGAGGTGGGGAGATGACCCTGGATTATCTGGGTGGGCCCAATCTAATCATTTGACTCCTTAAAAGTAAAGAACCCTTCCTGGCTTTGGTCAGAGAGAGGTGACAACACAAGAATGGTCAGAGAGATCTCCATCTTCTGACTTTGAAGAAAGGGAAAGAGAGTTACAAGCCAAGAAAAATAGGTGGCCTCCAGAAGCTGAAAAATGCAAGGGGGTCACCATGAGTCAGGGCCAACTCAATGGCAGCAAATAATAACAATGACTTAAAGGAGGGAGTGTGAAAACCTCTGACTCTCATTCACCACGTAAGGAAGCAGTCTGAGGCGGCAAGCTCCATGAGGCAGGACCATGTCTGTCATGTTCCCTATTGTGCCTCCTGGGCTAACTTGGAAGGTGGCCAGTGATTATCAGCTGTTTAATGGGAGGAGAGGCCAAGGAAGAGCAGATGATGTGTCCGTGGTCCTGATCTATTTGGTGGTATAGCTAGGACTAGAATCCTCATCTGATAAGGGAACAGTAGTTCTTTCTCCCACCTTTGGGCAGGTGGCTGTTAAAAAAAAAAAAAAAGAATTAGAAGAAGAAGAAGAAAAAAGAGAGAGAGAGAAAGAGAAAGGAAGAAAAAAAGAAAGAAAAAGAAAAAAGGTTGTTCCAGGCTTAGTAACTACAGGACTTTTAATGAGCAAGATAATTAAATGTCACCAGATATACTCCTTTAGGGGTTGTCTTCATCAGAAGACTCCAGTCTAAATGCAAACACATGAGTTCACTGTCCTATATCACAGTGACAGACACAAGTTGACCAGAATGACAGGCCAGTTACTTGGCAGAGAATAAAGACTTCAGCAAGGGGAAGGAGTCCATGTGACAGGCGATGGCAGAGCTTGATCACTACAAGTGTAGGTTATGGGGTCAGCCGGGAAATCAAAACATGGTCCCATCACTTACAGTGTGTGCTTGGAGGCAAGTTTCTTGATTTCTCTAAGCCCCAGTTTCCTCATTGTAAATTTAGGATGATAATGATACCGAGCCTTGATAGTCACTGTAAGGACAATGTATGTCAAAGAGGTCATGTTCTCACAAAAGGGCATCCCTTACTACAATTCCACCCACGTCTATCAGTTTGTTATACTGTGGTGGCTGGCATGTTGCTATGATGCTAAAAGCTATGCCACCAATGTTTTATACACTAAAAGGGTCACCTGTGGTAGACAGGTTTCAGCAGAGTTTCCAAATCAAGACAGATCAGGAAGGGAGGGCTGGTGATCTACTTTTGAAAATTAGCCAATGAGAGCACTGTGGATCACTCAAGAACACTGTCTGATATAGTGCTGGAAGATGGGCCCTCTGGACACTCAAAATACACATTGGTGATGATAGTTGACTTGAGCATATTAACAGGACCGGGCATTTAATTCTGTTGTATAGGGGTTGTCATGAGTCAGAGCTGACTCAACAGTAACTAACTATAACAACATTATCACAGTTATTATTATTTCCTATAATGCCAAGAAGATAAAATTGTCTGGGTCCCTGACTTTTTATAAACCCCATTAGCTGGGATTCTAGGACTTCCGGGCCGGAAAACTTGCTGTGTGCCTAGAAGGCCAGCTGGCGTGTGTAGAGCATTTAAACATGCCATCCTGCTCTGGGCTCTGCACTGTAGCTTGGACTATGACATCGACCTTTTAAAATTGATGGAGAAATGCCTTCAGCTGCTCCCCAGGCCTGGAGCACATTTATTCCTCATAGAGGGTAAACCAGAAGGTAAAAGTTGCAGGAAAAGAATGGGGGCACTCTCAAAGACTCCCTTCCTACATATGATGAAATGGTATAGTCAGGCCAGAACTGGATCAACCACTGTATACATTAACTCAGAATCTGTCTTCTGTGGCAGCCACCACCTTTGGTTAGATCCAGATTTGCCACTTGTCCTGCTGCAGCCTAATTTTAGCCAAGCTCAAAGGATGTATGTTGGAAAGCATCCAACTTACATTCAACATGGCAACAGTAAACTCCTTCCAGAGTATTCACCGCAGACTGGGCCAGCATGGATTGATACACTCTCAGCTGATCCCTGACTCAGAGGTAATGCATTGGTCTCACTGCACCCCACCCCAACCCCCCAGCCAAGGCAGGAGGACTGGCACCCGTAGACCCTGAGCCAGGAATAATGAGGCTGTCTGTCTGCCAGTGCGTCCTCTGATCCGTGAGTAATGAGCGTGTCCCAGGCCTGGGGAACTAG